GTTACCTGCATCAAGCCAGTGGATGAAGAAAGGCAAGATGGTAGGGGGTAGACTGGGGGTGCTGCATGCAGGAGGTAGCTGGGGACAGTCCCTACAAACTCCACTGGTCAGTCACAGGGTTTCTTCTAACTGTGGGAGAGACTGGGAAACATGATCTAGTCAAGTGCTCAGGAAAAAGGATGAACAGTTTTCATAAACAACTAATCAATCTCTGCCAGGAGGTCAGGAGAGTGGATGAAATGAGAAAAAGAGAAGGAAATTCTACAGCAGAATTCAGGGAAGACAGAATTCACAAAAAGGAAGAGAAAATGGGAACTAGAGCAACCCAGAGGTGCTCAATGCAACAATAGGACCCTGAGTGATTTGTGGAGGCATCTTGTGCAGTCCCCACCACATGAATAGCAGCAGGTCCAGAGAATCTTCTGGAAGATAACAGATCATCAGAGAATAGATAGCGACACATGGCAGCTAAGAACCAAAGGCCATTGGCACCACAGGAGATGAATTGATACATGGTGGCTGAAAGCCCATAAAATTAGTCCACATGCTTTCTATTTGAGCTAAATGTTCATAAATAAATCTATATTCCTGGTGCAAATCCATCTATGGCGACTATGAACTATATTCAGACCTGGACTGGATTTTTCTTTGGACAATAGTATAATTCAAGTGTTAGGAATGTCACATAAGAAATCTGGTTTCCATGTTTTCTTGAACCATCAAAAAATCTGGCAATAGCAGTTCCTCATTCTTGTGTAGAAATAATCGGACAACTTTGAATAGCCACCAACCTTAGACTGGGTATTTTCTCTCTCTCCAAGACACCAAAGTCCTATAACTTACTTCATTTATATTTTCTACCTGCTACATTTTGATGTTTGAATTTCAGCCCCTAATGTAAATAGTTAAATCCTTACCAGTGAAAAATATTACAAAAGGAACTAATTCAGGAAGTCAATCATTTTCAGCATCTGACAACAGCCCCGCTAGAATACTGTTATACATCCATATACATGTATGTACATATATGTGTAGAACAGCAATATGAGTTTACTTTGCTTTATGTTTACTTGTTTAAGCAACTATTTTCTTTAACGCATTATGAGTTATTTTAAAAGCAAGGCTCAGAGTACCTGGTCCATGATAAGTGCTCAGTTAAGGCTTTTGGAAGAAACCACAGCAATTTATAACAGAAAGAATCACTTGAAGTGAAGTGTAATAAAGGAAATACTGAGTAAGTTGCTGAGGTAGCATCCCTGAATTGGGATAGATCCTGCCATGATCCAGACCCCAGAACCCGGGGGGAGAGGCTACTGATCCATCCTTACAAAGAAAGCAGAGAAGGAAAGAAATCATCAGGGCTGCAGACAAGAAGTGAGAGAAAAAAGGGATGTTGAAAATATTTGAGAAGCCGCTGGCTCAGATGGCCTTACCTAGGCCGCATCCTGACTGAGCTGTCACTCTGGAAGCTGTGGGAGAATGACCCATCCTTGTCCCTCACTCCTCCTGCCTGGAACACCCAGAGATGCGGAGGACTGTGCAGCAGCAGCTAGAGGTTCCCAATGAGACCAGCCAGCCCCACGGCCACGCATTGGAAGCAATCCCTCAAATGGCTTAGTGAACGGCTTCATTAACCACCATTTATCTAATTTTAGGAGGACAATAAAGATGAGATAGGGCTGAATAGAATTGAAAGGAACTGAATTGACATGGTGAGCCCCTAGGAAGCCTTACAGGGAGGTGTCCTGGCCACCCACGGGTTCTGTGCAAGGGTCCTGCCCTTGCTGAAGGCACCAGAAACCATCAGAATCAATCAGGCCCATAAACAAGTCTCATGAGGATGATTAATCCTTGCTGTGAGGATGCCAGGGTGTGAATGAGGTGCCAGCAACTCTCTAGTCAACTCTAATAGTTAACCATCCAGGGCAACGGGGGCTCTGGCACATGCTGCCCAGCCAGGCAGAGTGGGAAATGTTGGCAAGGTGGCTGCTAGGGGCAGGCGTGTCTGGGCACAAAGATGTCAGCTTAGCCTACTCACGTTCTTCTTGGACAACCATTAGTCTTGCTGAAAGTATCTGGCTGCTCCCTGTTGTGCTAACTCCTCTTTCTATTGTCATAATTCGCCAAGGGGAGGAGAAGCAAAGTTGATTTCTGACCTTTTCTGGGAAAACTAAAGCAAGGTTCTGGTCATTTTCAGGGACTGACGGTAGCCTCATCCATCCATTCAACCAGCGCCTATTTATGGCCGCCTCCTATGTGCTAAGTGCTAGATGGAAAGTGATGGATAATAGAGATTTGGTAGTTTATTCTCTATTTGGAAAGAAAGACAGTAAACAAGTAAATATATACATCATAACTAGGTGCAGTAAGTGTTTCGAAGAAAAGGAACATAGTGCTCTGATAGGAAATCGCAAACAACATGGTAACAGCTTAGTCAGAGAAAGCCTTTCAGGAGAAACTGAGTCCTGAAAAAAAAGGAAGATCCAGCCATGAGTAGCTAGCAAAGACTGATGCAGGTAGAGGGAATAGCAGGAGAAACCCCCAGGGCTCTGAGAGCCCGACGGGAGAAGCTACCAAGAGGCTGAGCCAGATGTGCACAGCTGAGGGGCACACAGACTGGCCTGAGGGAAATAGAAAGGAAATTCACTTGAGGCCTTCTTTTAGCTCTCTCTTCTCATAGGTTTTGGGGTCTGCATGGACTGCTGTGACTTATGTAGGAACCCCTCCATCACGTGGCACAGAGGAATCCAAAACCCAGGGCCAGCTCATGGCACGCGTGCATGGACAGGCTGCTGTGCTGGCCAAGCTGCGCTCATGGAACGTCCTTCCTACATGAGCCAGAGGAAGAACCTGGGGCTGAACCAACCCGGCTGAGGCCTCAGGGAATAGGATTTTCTCTCTGCACCTTGCCACCCACACCAGCCAGCTACACGGGTTCAAAATGGCATCTGAAGGGCGTTCACACTTCTCTAGAGCAAATGCTCACAGCCAGGTAGGCCACTAGCAGAGGCACACCCACTCACAGCTGCCTTAGGTGAGAGGTTTAGGATAGGAAATTGGTTCAACAGCCAGAGAGTTTACTATTGGTCACAAGTTCACATAAGAAAAATCTATGATTCCTAATAAAAACAGCCATTCAGACAGGGAGAGGATATTCTTTTCACAACGGATGAGACTCATCTTTGGGGTCTGGCAGCCTGCAGACATTGTGCTCACCACTTCCTTTGCAGTCCAAGGTTGCTAACAGGAGAGATTAATTTCATTGCCATGATTATCTGCTAAGTAGATATCCTCCAGCACTGCATGTATGTTCCATTTTGTTCTGTTAGAAATAAATAAATCCCCTGAAGGATAATATAATCTGGCCAACATGCCACCTATGTGGTAACTTCAGGCCAATAGGATCTGACCTACCCGAAAAAGTGTCTAGGAAGGCCTTTCTGGAAGGGGAGGCAGGAGGAGGAACCTCACAAACCCTGAATCACAAACACGGTGTCTTCAGCGTTTACTGAAAAAGCACTGATGATCTGGCAAAATTTGGACGTGAATTCAAAGTTACTCACGTATCTAGCCTGAGCCCAGTCTAACCTCAGCTCAGAGCTTTCAGTTCTAGCTGATTCAGGTTTTGTTGCAGGAGACAAGATTCCTAACATAACCAAGCTGCATACTCTTCCCCACTCCATGTGCTCACAAACAAGGGTTAAAGCCAGCCAAAATTACATGGAAGCTCTCGGTGACTGGGTCAGAGCAGACTTGGTCCAGGGTATATTTCCAAATCGTCTGAGGCTACACATTTGTTTATCTATATTTAGGAGTTGGTTCTGCATAAAGAGACCTTCTGTCAATATTTCTGTATCTGTCAAGGATTCCCTGACTTCTACCACCTATGTGTGTGTGTGAATGTGTGTCTGTGTTTAATATAAAAACCTTCCTACCCATGTCCAGCAGTGATGAGGCTGTGATGCATGCATCTTTCATCCATAAAAGCCTCCAAACAGACTCAGGCAGAAATTTAACAAATGTTAGGCTTGGTCCCCCTGAGGTGGTGAGAATACGATTTTTTCAAAAATGTGAAGAGCAGCACACTTTCCACAAAGCAATAACATACCCTGAACACACTGGCATTTGCAACTTTTCAAGCCCCAAAGTCTCTTCTCTGTAATTCTAGACAGGAATATAATGGAGGAGCTGGAGGCCTCCAGCAGCTAACAGAAAGGTGTTGACCTCCTAATGCCTTCCCACCGTGACAGGCACGATAGAGGAGTCCGATGCATAAGGCAAGGCTTGAATCCACCCTTTGTGCCCATAGCCACATTAACTGGGCTCACAAAAAAGCTGCCTCAGTAAAAACATGTAGATCAAAGATTCATTCTGTCATGTTTTGAGATACTGCAAGTTATCCTCACTTACCTAACCATACTTAACTCGGGAGACTGGGATGGGGTGATGGGGAAAGAGGTGATGGGCAGCTGAAATGGCTGAAAGCTTTGATTAACTTTTATGTTTGAGCGCATTCCTTGGTAAGGACTGCCAAGACAAGGGCAAGTCTGTTATTTTTCCCTCTCCCTCAAGAAATAGTTCTTAGTGAGTCCCTTGCACTCATTCATTCACTCAACAAACATTCATTACATGCCAGTCCTGAGCATGAATAGGACAGGGTATATAATGTCAAAACAGGGAAACTGGCCAGAGTGGTTTTCAAGCAGCCCCCAGAGTTCTTTACTTCTAACATTTCTACAAGTCAGCCTCCCTAAACCAACACAAAGTTGGGACATCACCCCTCAGGGAGGAACTGTACCATCCTCCTAACTCTGCACGATCAGCAAAACGCACACACCAAGAGGAGATGGTATTTCATCACTCTGTGCAAAGCATCCTGAGGCTTCAGATTGTCTCTTCCACTGCCTTGGAAGAGGGGTGCTGCCCAGCCCGACCACTGTTCATCCAGTCCAGCCCCATCCCACCCTTATTCTCCCCCTAAACAGGCTCTTGCCACTCACCTTTGTGTATCCATTCCATGTTTCCAAGCCTTCCTGCGATAAGCTGCATGTCCAATTGCATTTCCCCTTTTCTGCAAAAAATTAAGTATACAGTGATTGTGACATGTTCTGAAGAGGCTTGCTTTACAAGAAAAACACAAACTCAGCCCCACAGGGAGATCAGAGTGAGTCACTCAGGGCTCTTAGCTTTGGCCTTTTGGTCTGTAAATTCAGGTACTGCGGCATCCCACTCAGCCCAGGTGGCCCAAAAAGGGCCTGAGAGGGTCACTCCCTGAACATTAGATTACACAGAAGCGTTAGCCAAACAAGGTCAAACTGAATCCCATGAATCCCTTGCTTTTTGTTGTTATAATCTGAGAAAATGCCCAAACACTGACTGGATGAAGAGTAAAGTCTATGGTGCCTCATTTGACCGTCATAGGAAAGTAAACAACTCCTAGAGAAATTGAGAGAACATGAGAGAGGGAAAAAAGAAACAAAAGTAAACACTGGCAGATCTCATCATCCTTAATATAACACAAAAACTCGTGACACTAACATCAACCCAATGGCACATGGCTCAATAGAAAGTTTGGAATTTGAGTGAGTAATGAGCTAGAATTGCCATCATCAGTCTGGGAAGTGACTGTAGGGATGGGGAGCAAGTTTCCAACACATTCGTTAGTGATAAAGCAAAAGCAAAATGACAGTTTGTGAAGCTGGGTCCCACCAGAGAATAAGGCTTTGATGCTGAGACTCTGCCAGGACCCTGCTTTCTTCTTTAAGTCCTAGCAAAAGCAGCCCTCCTCCATGAAGCCCTCAAGGACTTCATCCAACCACTTCCGAATTCCTTGAACCCTTAATTTCACATCTCACCACGTGGAACTTTCTCAGGTTTTCTTTGGCATCATTCTCTAGTTGTTTTGGTGTGTTCACCTCTGAGTTTTGGACAAAGCCCACTGGCAAGACAGGGGGTAAATGTACTCAGCCTCATCTAAGTAAAACCTCATCCTCTAGACACACACAGGCTGCTTAGTAGCCGGTGGACAAGGTGAATTTTCTCATACATGTTTGTCCCAACAGAGAAGGTTTGCTCCTTTGGTAGGAAAGCAAGAAAAGTTATTTATGCCAGAAGTTTACGTTAGAGGTTCTAATCATATATATATGTAGGGGCTGCTGTCCGTACCCCCTCACTGCCAGTTTTTCTCTAAAGCCTATCCTTGGGCAATTCCATCACTGTCTCTGGCTGCCTTTCATCTTCATTCATGTCACCCCAAATCTGTAGCTCGATCCTGACCTTCACCCTCAGCTTCAGTTTTTTAACTGCCCATTTGATGTCTTCATCCTCCATCCTGTTAAGCTCAAAAACTAAACCAAACTCAGTGCGGCCTTTTTTTCTTTCTTTGGCATGTCATACTCATGATAATGGCTCTGTTACCCTTTGGGATTTTCACATTGACTTCAGAACCCCCTTTTATACCTCCCTCTCTGAGGCTGCCTCCCAAGGCCTACCATGTTCTAAAGCCTGTGCGTGAGCCGTTCTCCAGCCAACGCCCACCTTTCCGATCCCTCAGTCACTGAGGCTGCAGCCGTTAGAACCGTCTCCCCTCGCCCCGTTTCCCTCACCCTCCTCCCTGAGCCCATCCAGCGCACCTACTATCACAGCACCCATCAGATCCCTACTCTGCCCACCACCACCAACAGTCTCTTCTCCACTGCGACGTGTCCAAGTCCTATCCACCCTTCACATCCCACATGGTACCTTCCCCATGGAGCGCCGTCTGTTCCGGAGAAAGTAATCTGTTTTCTAAACCCCTCAGGCATGTGACTTTTCTCTTGAATTATATCTATTGAATTGCAATTATAAAATTATAATATCTACTTGACATCATAATTTCTGTGCCTTTTTATCTTCCCTTTTATGCCAAAGTCCATGAGAACAAGAATTAGATGTGCTTCACCTTTTATCCCCAGTTCAATTAGTTAATTAATTAATTCACCAATGAATAAAATTCAAGTAAGGTTTAACCTGAGGCATACTCCTTGCCTGGATGCTGTTGTTTGATGCCCAGAAGTTTTTCCTGTAACCCTACCAACCACTTCACCCCATGCTCGTGGTCTGTAGGCAAGGCCGGGAGAGCTGGGGGCAGTCATGCCCAGGCCTTAATGCAATCCTTAATCCTGTAGGATCCCAGATGCCATGGCAGGCCAGCCAGGCTCAGCTGAAGGACTTTGCCCTCGTGGAATTGTGGCAGAGAGATTCCTGTGAGGCATGACCTGCATTCCTTCCCTGCCCTCTGTCTTCACCTTCATAATTAGCACACTTTTCCCACATGGGCCTAATGCTGTACTTCATTTCACCCCGTCTTTCACATCCCTGGCAGCTATGGCTTTGAGTTTGCCCTGTTTCTTGACTCAAGAAACAAAGAAATGTGCTAAAACTGTGTCCACATGTAATTATTTTCTGTAAGGGAATACAAAGGATCCGCCTAAGGCAGAGTGTCTGGAGGAGGCATTTCTCATTCCTGTCGACCGCTCCATCATAGAGCAAACATGCGGAGGTTTGGAAGAAGAGAGAATCTGAGCTTCTCCTTGGGTTATTTTTTTCTCATCTCTCTCTCTTTTTTCCCCAGCTGCGGCATTTCCTGGTTTGAATCCTAGGCCTCAAAACCCAGTCATTATCGGAATGATGGGTTCAGTCAGAAGAAAAGCCTCTGCTGAGGAAGCTCCCAGAACACTGAAATAAGGGAGCAGGGCTGCAGCCCTAGCCCGGCGGCTGGGCAAGCTGAGCCCACTCTGCAGCCCTGTCCATGCCTCCTTTCACTGAGCACCCACTTCATTCAGCAAATGTTAATCAAGCACTTACCATGTAGCTTCTCTGTGGTTACTGGGAACAGTACAGAATGATATTCAAAATAGCCAAGAATGAGTAAGACATAGTCACGGTATGAGCATCAGGCAGAGAGCTGGGGCAGGTTTTGAAGGACTCTGCTGTGCCAGGACTTAGTATTTTTATTGTTAGATTATGGGGGTAGGGTCAGAGCTTTCAGGTAGTGATCAGAACAGCTCAAGTGGCAGAAGGGGCACTCGGGGGCTCCAGGGGTCCATTATTTGCCTACTGGTATGAAATTGTTTCAGCAGTTTAATACCTGGTAGGGTTATACAGGGGTAAGCCAGCTGAATCTGAGTCTTTGATATAATAATGTACTAAATTGAGCTCACAGATCCCACAGTTCAATGCAGGAGAGACAGTGCTGTGGTCTGAATGTTTGCATCCTCCCAAAATGTATATGCTGAAATTCTAACACCCCAAAGTGCTGGCATTGGGGGGAGCATGTATTAGGTAGTAGGTAGGGCCTTTGGGAGATGATTAGATCATGAGAGTAGAGCCCTCTTAGAGGGGATCAGTGCTTTTATAAAAGAGACCTACAGAGCCCCCCAGTCCCTTCTAGCATGTGAGGACATAGAGAGAAGGGTTCACCCAGGCAGAGGGTCCTATCTAGAACCTGACTTTGCTGGCACCCTGATCTTGGACTTCCAGCTTCCAGAACCATGAGCAATAAATGTTTGTTGTTCATAATCAACCCAGACTGTGGTATTTTGTTATGGTAACTCAATAAACTCAGACAGACAGTAATCAAATAATCATACAAAAACATAAGATCTCATCTGGTCTGTAGGAAAGTCCAGGAGAGCTGGGGGCAGCTATGCCCGGGCCTTAATGCAATCCTTAACCCTGTAGGATCTCCAAATGCCATGGCGGGCCAGCCAAAATTACCAAATATAAAACTGTGGCTGTAAGTAACATTACAACAATAGGTACCAATGCAAGGAGAGTTGCAGTATTAGAACTGGACCCTTTCAGATTGATCAGAGAAAGCTTCCTTGAGGAAGTAAGGTTTCAACTAAGATATGAAAAATGAATAGGAGTTAACAAGTCAACAGGGGATTAAAGAGCATTCTGAATAGAGAGAACAACATGTGCAAACCTCCTGCAGAAGGGAGAGCTAGAAGAAGGCGGATGTGGCTACAGGAGAAGAGAAATCTGAAAGAAAAGAGGAAGATATCTGGGGGCCAATGTGGGGCCCCCAGTTCTGTCTGTCCGAGGGCAACGAAATGTCATTAAGTGATTTAAAGCCATGTGGTAGCAATAGCAGATTAACATTTTGGAGAGAAAATGCTGACTGCTGTGGCCATGCTGCACCTGGAGTAGGAGGCTTGGTGGCAGACAGACACTTCACTGGTTGACACCAACAACCCCTGTGATATAATGAGTTATAAGAAATATATATTTGGTCATTCAGATGACCAAAATATACTTCTCAGATATGTTTGGTCTTCATCCACAGCACCCGAAATTCAGAGCCCAAAGTGAAATGGAAGTCTTGTTATGTTAATGGCGAGTTTTTTGGACCCTGCCGAAGGGTCGGGGTTGGTTGCCAGGGGGATCAACGCTGTGATTAGAGGTCAGGAACTCTCAGCCCCAGCCCCTGGGAAGGGAGAGAGTAGAGGGACTGGGAGTTGAATTAGCCAATGGCCAATGACTTAGTCAATTATGGCTATGCAATGAAGCTCTCTTAAAAACCCAGGAAAAGAGCACATTGTTCTCTTTTACATACTGCTTCCCTGAAAGAACTCACCCACCTGGGGAACCAGAACACTTCCACATGCCACAGAGCCAGGCTCAAAGCTCTATGAGCACGGAAACTCCTTTATTTGGGACCTTGCCCTATGCATCTCTTCATCTGGCTGTTAACTTGTATCCTTTAGAGTATCCCTTATTACATTGGTAAACTAAGTGTTTTCCTGAGTTCTGTGAGTCACTCTAGCAAATTAATTGAACCTAAGGGGGAGGTATGAGAACCTCCAGTCTGTAGCCGGTAAGTCAGAAGCACAGATAACAGCCTGGGGCCTGGGACCAGCATTTGGAGTGGGGAGTGGAGGATAGTCCTGTAGGATGGAGCCCTTAACCTGGGAAATCTGGTGCTTCCTCCAGGCAGATAGCGTCAGAATTACATTGAGTTCTTAGACACCCTAATGGTGTTGAAAATTGCTTGGTGTCACGTGTGGGAAACCCCCTCCTACACACACACGTTGGAATTGGGTCTGGGAACCCCTAAGATCCTATATATGCAGTGTTACTCAGGGCTCTGGTCTCTCATCCTGTAAAGAAAGGATTCCTCCCCATAAGGCAAGGTTTGACAGATGTCTCATGTCAGTGAAATAAAGTGTTGATACAGTGAAAAAAAAAAGCACACAATAGTTAAGAATTACATGCTCTCAACTTTATCCTTAATATTATAGACTGTAATTTATTTAGCACAAACTCTGAGAGCCAATTACCTAACTAAACATTGCCATCTATTGCCTCCTTAATGTTCAGAAGGACTCAGCAAGATGGGCATTATCTAATTTACAAATAAGGGCATCGACATTTTTCAGAGAGTTACTTACCAAGGAATCAACAGCCCAAGCCTTTCTGACTC